TTTGTGTGCTTAAAATAAGTACATTTATTTTAATATTAGTTACAGATAATATTTTTTAAAAAAGTACTAAATTGCAACTTAATCATTACAAATGTGCAATAAAAAATATATTTAAATGCATGATATACTAATTTTAATTTTAAAAAAAATTACATTAAAATATGTATGAGTAACCATAAATGGCTGAACATTTGGCAGTAAACTGAACAAAGGAGAAGCAATTATGAAATGAGTTACATAAAGATGCACTTAAGTCAAAAAGCACTCTAAAGTTCAACTAATTTCATTTAATATAAATTTAAACTGTAACACATTTTAATTGCAAATAACATGCAATTACGAGTACAAAAACATTACATTCAGTTCACATTTAAGTACATTAATTTAAATGATATTATCTTTGTAATAAATACTCTTTTTGAAAGTCTGCTATGTGTGCTTCTTCATAAGGGTACAAATAAATTGAAATAAAAAGTGTGTAGGTTTTGATCTAAGTGGCTTCAGTCAGCCCCGTCACATGCAGCGCTTGATGGAAAGGCCGTCCTGCATACCACAAATCACATAAGCCCCCTGGGGTCAGAAATATCTTGTGACCTTAAGTATGGGTCAGATGTGATTGAGGACAACGAGCCATCGATCAGAGAATTCAAGAGTCATTTAGCTGAAGTAATAATGGACTGTTCATTTCTCATGCTTGTGTTACAGCACAATACTGTCTGAGTGCCGGTTATTGGTTAATGACACCCTTGAGACTCTTCCATCCTTCCAGCAGATTAAAGTGTTTGTGTGTGTGTGTGTGTGTCAGCAGCTCTCAGTGCCAGTGAAGTGCATGTATACTTAACACCTGCCACGTTTGGAATGCAGCAGCAGAGCTATACTTAGTGCATACTGTGCAGTACATACTGCATACTTCAACAACTTGGGAACAAATAAATAAATACCTTTGTATTTCATTTGCAATATCGTTTGGCAGTCTAAAAAGAATAATGCAGATATTATGTTTGGAAATTCTGACAACACTACTTCTGACTTTGTAGTATATGTGTTGAGCACCAATTACCTAATCTATGAAATTTAACACAAACACAACATGCGCTCACATTTTTTTATGCTAACTGCATGCCACCTGCTAAATTAAACATGCAACCGCAATGCAGCACACTACTAATTAGAAACAATGACTTCTTCATAATGCAGTTTTTTACAGTATATACTAGTACTAGTAACTTTAAATATCTCAAACTAAGTCAAATAAAAAATACAGTAAAAATACAGTACAGTAGTGATATTTTAGAATCAATGATACACTATGACAGTGTTTGTTGATGTTTTGAATTAGATTTTATTTTATATTTTCTGTTTTCACTTTAATTTTACATACATTGTTAGTAATTTTGGTGCTTTTTTATTATTCTATATATATTTTTTTTAAATATGTCTATATAGTTTTTGTTAATTTAGTAATTTATTTATAAGTTTTAGTTATCTTAGCACTTCAAGTTAAAATAAATTAATGTTTATTTTATTTCAAGTAACCGATCCAGAAAAAAAAAGGTGATTTTTTAAAAGTTTTTAGTTTTAGTTAACTCTAATAACCTTGCCCAGTTCACTGTGTCCCGGTTATACTGCACACTTGGGCAAATAATTCAAATTCAAAGAACTTTACTGTCTATTATATGGTAACATAAATTTGTCTTCAGTTAAAAGCTCACACACATCCATAAAAAGACATACATTACACATCATCACACAACTTCAGCACTTCAGAAACAAAGAAAACAAAAACACTAATTGTGCTATTTGACAGGCTATTTTACCTTATTTAGAATGGATATTGCAGTGGAATAACATCCTGGTACTTCATATATATTGTGCATGATACACTGCATACTGCAAAATTAGTATGAGCAGTATGTCAAAAGAAAGACTTTTTTAAAGGGTGGAATGTGAATGACTCGTTAGGACAATTGCTTGTGCGGTTCCTCTGGGACTGAAATGTCATTGGGCTGTTTTTCTTCTTTACATGGGCAGGTGAATTTTGAATGTCACTAAACAGGAAACACATCAAAGTGAATCCTGTCTAATGAAGTGTCTAATGTCCTGTGGGAATTTGGTAACATTTCATGTTTGATCTTTAGTCATATGCAGTATGTGAAAAAATAATTAGATGGTATATATATATATATATATATATATATATATATAGTTCAGAAATTAATTGACTGTCCATAGTAGAGTTTTTTATGATTTTATGATATTTGGACTACCTACTTCCCATCTTCCCATGATCATATTACTAGTCGAGATCTCAATCTGTCAGTCTATAATTATATTTGATGCTTTGAGTTCCGGCTGAATTTTAAAAACTCCAAAAGTCGGAAGGGTGTTTGAACTGTAATCAGATCATGGCTTTATTTCCTGTTCCATTAACTCCTTTGAATTGTGGAATTCCATTATTCAGAGAGATTGTGATCTGCTGACCTGATCTGCTGCTCTCCTGATTGACCTCTGCACCTCCTTTCCTCTGATCCTTTCATTCTTGTTTTCTCATTAGAGCCCTCGACCCGAGCAGGTTGGGATTGAACTGTGATGTGGATGTTCATGCAGTGATACTGCCGTACAGGGATTCGTTTAGGACACAAAGATGGCAAGTTAGCAGTTATACAGTTTAAGCTTGAATATCAAAGTGTTCTCACATAATGGTCGGGGGCAAATCTGTTAAATGATTCATGACGGGGTGGGGCGGTCTCCCGAGACTCTACTGAGACTCCAGTTGCAAATCTGCTCCAATTAAACTGACTGTAAAACACAAGAAAATAAGGAAATATTAGATTGTAGTAGAAACAAACAAACAATTAAAGGAACATAAAAAGCAAGATAACTCAAACTTTTAAATTATGCAAAGAATTTACAAAGCCTTGTATAGTTACTTTTTTTTAAAAATGCTAATAAATTAATATACTCCATTAAAAAAAAAAAAAAGTTAAATCATGCAAAAATAAAAATCTAGAAATCTAATATTAGTATAATGCTATTTTTAAAAAAAATGAAAATTAACTCCTTTAAATCATGCAAAATAAAAAGTTTAACATGGAAAAACATAAATAAAAATACTATTGTCATTAAAACATGCAAAAAAACTAAACAATTAAAGCAACATCAAAGGAAAGAAAATTCAAACTTTCAAAACATGCAAAGAAGAATGAAAGAAAGACAAAAAATAGAAAATTAAATTGCTAAAAGCATGCAAAAAAGATTAATATGTAAAAATGGTCACACTTTATTTTAAGGTTCAATTCTTGCAAACCAACCATTCACTATGACTTTTGCCTCAAAACTCTTAATTTGCTGCTTATTAATAGTCAGTAAGGTAGTTGTTAAGTTTAGGTATTGGGGATGTAGAATATGGTCATGCAGAATATGTGCTTTATAAGTACTAATAAACAGCCAATATGGTAATAATAGGCATGCTAATATGCAACTATAATGAGAATTGGTCCCTATACTAAAGTGTTACCGTAAATAAATAAATATAACATTAATGACCTTAAAACATACAAATTGACATGTAAAATAAAAAAATGTTCTTAATAAAACAGACAAAAAAGGAAATTAATACCTCTGAGGCCTGTATAAAATAATGAAAATAATTATTTATTAATAATTAAAAATTATTAGTGACATTAGTAACAATGCAATTAGTGACAATGGAAAGAAAATGTAGGTCTTAAAATAAGAGGTCATCGATTCAGACTGAAGCTTTTATAATTAATTGTTTGTGTGTGTGTTTAAAGTGGTTGACTGGCAGGCCTGAGTACATTCCCCAGCTGATTTAGTGTGGTTAAGATCAGATGGAATGTGTCAAAGCCAAAAGCTCCAGTTTAATCTCGCTGGCCTCCCCTTCCTCCGACAACACAAGCTGACATCTGACTGACAGTGGGAGTAAAAGAGAGAGAGATCCGGGTGAACGAGAGTCAAACAGACAAGGAAGAATGATAAGGTGATCTAGAGAAGATCAAAGGGGGTTTCAAGAGACAAACAGATGCATTAAACAGCGACGAGACATTTAATGGTGTTCAGAAGCTTTTCTTTATTGGCCTGAAGATTTGAGTCACAGAATGTGTGTGTGTGTGTGTGTGTGTGTGGGCATGTATTTTATTTTGTAAAAACCAAGATACAAAGCATGCACAATCGCTCCTTCCAAATTCACTCAAATAACCTCCAACTTATTCATCTAAATAAACTGAACTGCAAAAAAATCAACACTCTCCTTAAGTCACGACAATCAAACAATGGCTGCCTCAAAACCTGCAGCACTTTTCAGCCTCATCTGTGAATTATACAGGTACATGTTCTGAACACACACACAATGGCCAAAATGCTGTTGTAGGCAGGTACCAAGAACAAATGTGATCATTTTTGATTAATTTTTGAACATATCCATTAGTACTTCATAGTAAACTGGTGAATCGCGCAGTTTACTTTTCCTAAATGTAAACCTATTTTTAAGACCATTTTTGGGACATTGTTGCTTTGTTTGCATTATTTTCATAACAACTGTGTACATTTCTCCACAATATCTCCACAATACGAAAAAATCTTATTCCCATTTATTTCCCACAAATTTACTTTAGTTTTGATTATTCTAAATTTTTTATTTACTTTGTACTATTTCTGATCAATTTGGGAACATCAATAAGTACTTTATAGTAAACTGATGAACCACACACAAACTTGTCACATTTCACCCCAAAATTGAATTATATTTTTTCAGAAATCAATTTAAACACATTTTTAAGAGCATTTTTGGGACATTTTTGCTTTGTGATTGTATTATTTTAATGACAATTGTGTACATTTCTTCACAATATTCTCAACACTGTATAACAAAAAAATCTTTTACCCATTCATTTCCCACAAATTTATTGAAATTACCATTATTCTCAATTATGTATTATTTTATTTACTGAATCACAGTAAAAATGTTGTTTTTTAAATTAATTTAAATTAGCATAAACTAAAGGTAGTACAAAAAATACTATTCCAAATCTCAATGGTCCAAAAATAGGCTTCATTCAGTATATACTGCACATATGAAGCCTATGATATGTGTGTGTGTGTGTTTGGGGGGATCGGGGTGAAATACGACCTGGAAATGTTCTTGACAGGTTTCATGAGATTCACCCAAACATGTCATGGCCTCAGGATGTAAGAGCATGTGTGTGGATGTGCATCTGTGTGTAATACAATTGCAAAGAATAAAAGAAGAGCAACAGCATACAGATTCAACTCTTACAACACATTAAGACTTCAGCGAGACTCCCATGAAAACCTCTTTTTTAGCTGTCCTATATTAAAACTCGTGTCTTAAAATGTAACAAACCCCTTCCCAATAATTCCAGCTGCAGAAGCACAACTCAGAGAAGGTTAAGGGTGGATGGAACAGCCAAGAAGAAAATATCACTATAGAACAGCAAAAAACATTTTTCAATAAACAGATTTCGCATCAGAGGGTCAGAGCTCTCGAACAAGACAGCAATCTGACCCACATGAGGTTAAACACAGCACGCTAAACACACAGCTAAATGGCAAAGGATAAAAATAACTCTTTCCTCTATGTAAACATATTCATATACTTGTGCCATCTGTAATATTACCTTCCTGTTCAATGCTGAATGGCAAGTGTACAAAATGCATCTCTGGTCTGCATGCATCACGTACTATATGACATTTACACATGCCACATGAAGATGTTTCATATCAGTCCATTTGGGCACCTCATTTCCTCTCTTAATCTGCAGAAATAAAGCTTTGTGACAGCATAGGTCAATTCAAAGTGCACATGAGAAAAAGAAAATTCAGAAAAAACTGAATGCTTGGCTGCATAAAAGAAATCGTTTTTTTATTATTATTATTATTATTTACTGTCGGCCCTGTTCAGAGCAACTCAACTAGAGTTAAGCTAATGATTTAAGCAAAACTGATGAAGTACCTATTTTATGCAACCAGGCACCCAAGTAACCTGACGGAGGTCTAGATGCATGTCATAAAGGTCGGGTTAGACTGTGAGGGAAATGAAGCTGTTATATCTCTGAATGTTCCTCTTGAGAATCTCAGAGCAGGGCCCGAGGACGCGCTCGAAACGTGGCCGGTCCAGCTTCACGCACTTGAGCGGGCCTCTGGCCACGACTGTGGCTGCACGGGGTCTGTTCAATAGCAGCGCTATCTCACCTGAATAAATAAATAAAACACACACAGATTAGCTTAATGACCTGATTCAAAGGGTACATAATATAGAAATCAATTTGGATTTTTTCACTTTTTTCCCTTTGACATAAAATCGATTTTACATACTCTAACATTCAAAACTCAAAATATCCTAGTGCATCCAGACCATTAATTATTACTAGGTTGACAAAATAATTCATAAATGCGTTATGGCATCAGGTCAGGTGTTCCTCAGGGCTCTGTTTTGGTACTGCTTAAATTTACATAATCAACAACACCTATCCAATACTTAGTAACCAGGCTTTCCCGATTGAATAAATGTGTGAACGATGCCGCTACACTGATGTCAGCTGATCGTAGCAAAGGTTTATTTACATATAGAAGTCTTAAAGGTACAGTAGAAAAACAGTCAGTTTAATTCAGACAGAGGGGAAAACAGATATGTTTTTGCACTGTTTTTGCAAGAACATTGAGTGGATATAATGACACAAATGTGTAGATTATGCCCCTTTTTAAAGTCTAGTTTAAAACCTAAAAATTGTTATACAATAATATGTTATTTTACTAAATGTTAAGTATAAGGATAAATAAAAGGAGGGAGGCTGACAGGTCAGGGCTTCCCTATATCATAGTCATTTTACCGAAGTTGCAAAGACCAACAGTAGATAATCAGCACAAAATAAAGCATGTTAAAACTGTAAAAATGTAAGTAAAACAATAATTATAATAAAGGATGTAAATGTTAATTTTTTTTATCTAAAACAGGGCAAAAATCATAAATAAGACAAAACATTTTCAAAATAATTAAATATTATAATATTTAGTAGTAATTAGTTCAATAATAATAATAATAATAATAATCATTATTATAAATAATATATGAATGTAAAAAATATATAAATAAATTACACATATTATTTTATTATTATGACTGTTTTTGCTCTGTTTGTGCAAGAACATTAACTTTATAAGTTGATATAATGAAACAAATGTGTACATTATGACCCTTTAAAGAAAAAAAGTTGACAACAACAAAGTATTTAAAGACATTTAAACAGACATTTAAAGGTACTTTTAAATGTAATTTTTTCTACGCAAAGACTAATAAATTAAGCCATTTGAACAGCCAAACACTGCAACATTGACTCAACCCAATGGTATGAGTTTGAGGAGGGACTATCTCTTTGGCCAACCAATGGCAGATGGGGGAGTGTTTAGAAAACCTCTTTAAAACAATCACTATTTTTGCCATTCTGTTTGGTGACACTTGTGGTGCAGAAATGTCTCACTTCATCTTAAAGAGGTCATCTGTTAAAAGTCACTGGCTCTGCTGTATGCTGATAACATAAACACACCGCTTTGAAATAATACAGTCATAATACAAAAAGCATTGTCTCGCTATATAATGTAAATATTACTATATTCACTCTGTCGTGTGATAAGCTAAAGATCAGTGTGCCTGTGGTGCAGAAGTGTAAACCGCACTGACGGTAAACAAGCACACAGATCTACATTCTGCAAGCCCTGCACATGACGAACTGCCACCTGTTAGGAAAGCTACTCTTCCTGTCTGGCTCAGGCACTTCTGTTCTCTTATTTACAAGACTCTGGCACAACGCTGCAGGCTCTGCGATCCTCACAACACTCACCGAAGTAGTCAGACGGACCCAGGCGGCCCACTTCAACATATTCCTCATTATCAGACCTGCGCTGCAGAACAGACGCTGTACCCTGGGAGGAGAAAGAGAAAGTGAGATGCAGGTTTAATGAGGAGGAAAACTACAAAAAGAGGAGAAAAAGGAGACAGAAAAGCCTAGCTCATGGTGTCGAGTTTGAGACACGTCAGAAGGATTAGTGAAAGAGAGATTCTTTGCTTTACATGCCTGCAGGTGTACAGGATTTAGACAACTCTGCATGCTGCTTCAGGGACTCGCAAGACACACACACACACACACGTCATAGACTGACACACACACATACATACACACACACCTGGGCCTGTCAGTGTTGAGATTTTTCAACAATTATAGAGTTCCACTACATGCAGCGCCCCACACTGCAATGCAAAAACTCATTTAGAAAGATAAACAAGGAAACACACACACATGTTCTATCACTTTTGTCACATCAAGGACAAATGCATTACCCACAATACAACAGTAAAAGGAGGGAGGGCTCACAGGCCAAGGCTTTTCTATTCACAAAAGCAGTTAATCAATACAAAAAGAGTAAAACAATAATAAGAATAATGTACGTGGTGTAAATGTTAAAAAATAAAAGTAAAACAGGCAAAAATCTGTAATTTAAGAGAAATTAAACAAATGTGCTTAATTTAAAAAAATATAATTAAATATAATAGTAATTAATAATAATAATAATTATTATTATTATTATTATAAATATATTAAAAATATAAATACAATAAATAAACGTAAAACAGAAAAGTCAGTAATATAG